TTTCTAAATTTATACATTGTCCATTAAAAAAAACCGACCATCTGGTTTTTGCCCGAAAAAATGGCCAACTTTGGAAATGCATATTTTCTCAACTTTTAAGTCACAGACCTGCACTAGGTCTCATTTTTTAGAAAATTTTACACTGAATAAGATGGCTTTTTAAATGTTTGCCAGTTTCAGTCATTCATCAGTAAACTTAAAAATTACAGAACATACCAATTTTTGCAGTTTTTACTTCAAATTGAGCTGCGAAGCCAGGAAATTGTCCTGGAATGACGCCCTTTAGCAATCGATAGGATATTTTAATAAACTTTCAATTGACCACCTTCCACTTTGTCCGATTTCTCAACAGTTTTCGAGTTACTCGCGATTGTTGAGCAAAAAATGTATCTTTTTTACGTGCCCATGGAAAAAAAACAACGATCTCTCTCCCTCCCGACTTTACCATATATAAACTTATTGTTTCAATACATTATTAGAAGCCAAACTGCCACAACATGTGTGAAATGAGAAGGAAAACTTGAATTTCCGTGATGAGATAAATAAGTGGTTATCGAGCGGAAACATTCCGCATCCCAAAAGGTCAAAGTAAGAAAAAATAAGAATTGCCGCTTCCCTGTTCAATTTTTGAGAAAATCCTCGGAACAAAATTGCAGAGCGTAAAATTAACGAAATCATGACGGTTCAAAATTGAGAGTGAGATCGGTTTTTTTCCACGAGCACGTAAAAAAACACGTTTTTCTCAAAACTCGCGAATAACTCAAAAACTGTTGAAAAATCGGGAAAAGTGGAAGGTGATCAATTGAAAGCTTATTAAAATTTCCTATCGATTGCTAAAGAGCGTCGCTCCATTTCCTGAAGATTTCCACAGCTCAATTTGAAGTAAAAAGTGCAAAAATTGACATGTTCCAGAATTATTGAATTTACTGATGAAGCTAGGAAAATATTTAAAAAGCCATCTTGTTCAGTGTAAATTTTTATAAAAAATGAGACCTTGCGCAGGTCTGTGACTTAAAAGGGTGAGAAAATTTGCATTTCCAAAGTTCGTCATTTTTTCGTTAAAAAAAACAGGTTTTTTTAATTTTTTATTTTATGGGCAGTGTAAATCATGCGCTAGAAGATTAAAAACACAACAGCTACGGAAAAGTATAAAATAGTTTCAGCATTTTCTCTATATTTTAATTAATAAATTTCCAAACATTTTCTGTCGCACTTGAACACGAAAAAACCAAAGCTACGTACTGTAGATTCCAGAGTTTATTATTTTTGTCTTTCACACACTCTTCGCCTCTTGTATTTTGTTCTTTTTTTGTGTCTGTCTCCTCCCAAGATATTTTCCATTGCTCTCTTTATTATTTTCACCTATGATTTTTACATTAATAATCTATAACCTTCGTGAAGTGAATTTAAACTACTGAAAAATAAGGATAATCGCTTTCGGCTCGTGCTACTTTGACTCAAAAAAACACGTATTGGCTAGTTATATTTTTGTCCTTAAAAAATTTTCTCATGATTGGAAGCGGTTATTCTCTTTTTCCTCAATGAAAGAGCTGATTCTACAGTGGCGTCGCTAGGAAAGAAAATCCGCCAAAAGCGTGACAAGACGGGCCCGGGGTACAATCTCCTGCCATCTCCCGGTGCATTCCGCTAACCAACGCCGTCTTTCTCAGGCGTTGAAATCACCAAGCCGACAACCCGCAAGTCATCCCAGTTCTTCAGGTTTAGACGACGCGTTTTCTTCTTTAACAATTGTTTTCTTTTGTGACGGCAGAAAGGCTATTTCAATCCGAACGGACACTTCTGACTGTTCGATCCGGTTATCGGATACTGGAGACTCAAATTCAAAACACAACATTTATTCAGCTTGCGTAATAATTTAAAAACTATTATTGTTCTTTATGATTTATTTATTATTGAATTTTTTTTACGAACTGGGAAGATTTTCTTGGTACAGATCATTTCAGTCGTTCTACGGAATTCAGAGTATATCACTCTTTATAACAATTCCATCTTACATTAATTAATCATAGATTCATGTACTTTTGAAGACACTTATATAATTTAAAACATTTTATATAAAAAATCACGTACGTGTACACGTAAATGTCCGACTCCAGACCCCTCCAAAATAAAACTTTTTTGTTTCAAATAATTCTCCAAGAAAATGCCAAAGGGGGATGGGGTTTAAGGCTGTAGGTTGTTTAATTTTTGTTTGTTTACAGATCATTGCAACTACCATTAATTTGTAACTAGTAAGATATATACACGTTCAAGACAAGAGTGGAAAGAAACTACCCACTGGCAGTACCCCACTGAGACAACATTTTTTTTCTATTTAATGGAGCCTAGTGTCACTCTTCAATCGTTGGGGGTAGAGAGAATTAGTCGGAAAGTGATTTTTTGTATATGAGGAGGGTTGTCGGGAGAGTTTTGCTTTGTGGTAACGAAAGCAGATTAGATCTTAGACAAAAAGCATATTTAGATCTGTATAGGTTGAGTCGAATACGAGTATAAATGGAGAATAAAGTATTTTTCTGAGGATTATGGATTGGGCAGTTTGGATGCAACCGATATTGGAATGTTTGGCTGAATCTCACACTTCCAGACCGTAAGTACATGTCAGCTTCAATATGGTATTGTAAAGCAGCTTTTACTTACAGGTGGTAAGTTAGTGCGTCTGTCAATAAGTCGTGAAAGTGCTCCGAATCGTGTCATAACCTCTTGACGTTTCAGTCGAGTGTGGGCGAATCACGCGTTTTTTCGATGTATGTCGAATGTTCCTTATCCGCAGTTGGGAGAGGGACATTTTTAAGTAAACTGATTCAGGATTATATCGTAGATATGGGCGGATTTTTCTCTGTTGTGTTTTATTCTCTTCTTTTCACACCAATACTCCACCAAGTAGGGTGAGGTTTGTTGAAGGTTACGAGTGGAAATGACTGTATCAGAGTTACATGAGAGGTCGCTGTATCGTCTGAAAATGTTAGGGTGGTGGTTTTGAATGGGAGGTCAGCTGTGTACATCTAGTACAATGTGGGGGCAGGGCAGTGTTCTTTAGGTCCATAAGCAAGGATTAGGTATTTTTAGGAAGGCGCCTACCTTAAATAACACCAGTCAGTGAGGTAGCTGCGGAGGATTAGGTAGTAGTTAGAGGGAAGGATATCTTTGAGCAAAAACAGCAAGTCCGGGTGCGAAAAGCATCGAAAGCGCTTTAAATTGAAACTCGGGGTTTCATGCTGATTTTGAACTATCCGCTGTTAGTTTCGACCATATAAGATCTTCTGTAGATTTACTTTTAAAGTTTTAATCGCTTTTTTAGATGCCGCTTTGCTAATGTTTTTAAACTTTCCAGTGAGACGATACTTTTTGTACCAAGGCTTAACAGCAACAGGCGTTTTGATGCTTTTATCTATTTAACAGTGACACGTTTCGGCGTTGCCCATTATTTAAGTTGGAGCTTATAAAGTGCAATAGCTGAGGAGGGTTATCATTATCCTAAATTCCGGACTGCTAGGTTGATCTCCTTAAAATAGTAGAAATCTTTTGGTCCAATGCTTGTTTTCTTTTTCAGACTAATAAAGTTATTCCTGTCAGAAGGGCTTACCGTCCAACTTCTCGTCGGGTGATGTCGAAGGGTCAAACCACAAATACTGTTTATATATTATTCTCAATAAAAATTTGCCGGGATTTCAATATTTTTCCCTACACATTTTTTTAAACTAACTTTCTGCATGCCTTTCCGTTTCTGCTTAATTTTGGTTCTGACCGGTGTGAGTGTTTCTTTGGCAAGCTTATTTATTAGTTCAATTTCTTCAACCCTTTCACGTCCTGTCCTGGCACCCACATGGACTTTTTTACTTACAAGTATTAGCGATATGTTATTCACTTTCGGATTAGCTTTAAACAAAAAGCATATGATATTACATAAAGAACGCTGCCTGGCTGTCTATATTGAAGCACCTTTAATCTTCAGTTGAGCTTTTTCTTTATGTACTGAACAGATAGCAAAGTCAAACGTAATATTAAGGGAATGACTGTGGAACTTGTTCCTTTACGTAATTCTATTAGTCCTACCTTTGTAAACTTGGAGATGGATTAAACATTTCAAACTAGGTTTGATCTAAAGGTCCATGCCAAGATATTTATGTGCCTTCCCTTTGCCGAATATTTCCTGTGCTAAGATTTTAATTGCTTGAACCTCTGCTTGCAAGGTAAAGGGAATGAAGTTAGTGGTATTGCTTTGGATATATACATCACATTTAAAAATGTATTTGGTCCTTCCATGCTTGGTATAGCTAAGACAAAGTTTGTGATAAACCTTGTTTTAGAGGCACAGGACAGGAGACTGGTAATTTCAGATTAGCTTGATCTGAAGTGATATGATGCCACCACATATTGACCATCGCTGTTTGTTCTCGTTTTCAGCTTCTTTGTGAATATTTCCTGTGTAAATACTTTATTTGCTACCTCTGCTTGGAATCTTCTTCAGGTTGAGGAACAGTCCTAAAGGGTTTTGAATGGATACGTTTGACCTATAATTACTAGATACAGGGAATAACTTTAAGGGGTTTATTTGGTCATATCTTTCGTTGTGTACGCAAGTAAAGTATTGTAAACCCTATTATTGGCCTGTAGCACTTTGCCTGCTTGAACTTAAAGCTGAATGATTATGCCGTAACTATTGTAAATGTCTGTCTGAAGGTGTATTCGTGGTTTGGACTCGACACGTCACTAGAAATTAACCTATACCTGTTGTGTTTTAGTTATAGGAGAGAGAGTGAACATACATTCTCGTACTGACCGTACTACATACGTTGGTTTTTCTAAAACAGACAATAACGAGGGAAACGATTAACGTTCACACGGCCTATACACTTGTTCCATATCAGTATTCACGGGCCTGGTGGGGGAGCGTCGGCCAATTAGGAGCAGTGGGCGCGGAAGTGGCACGGATGCGTTACAGTGATCCATGAGTTATGCTCCAGTCATGATTCCGTCGGTCTGCCACGGCATCGCCGAGGGCACGGCTACCGAATTTCTCTCGCTGCCGGCCGGCATCGACCTCTAATGGCCAGGGGCGTCGAAGGGAAAGAAGGCCTCGGTGCCAAAATTAAAAGACGCTGGTCCGAACTCGGAAAACGCGGACGGTACGACCTGTCGCGGAGGCCTTCCAGAGGATTAGCGACGCTGTGCGGATCCGCGGAGTCGCCAGAGCCAAGATTGGCCCAAGGGTTCAGGATTCACCACGATACGAAAAGAGAAAGGACCGTCCCCAGAAGGATAACTTGCAACTTACCCCCGGTAATCAATTGTGCTTCTTGTGTATTTGTGTTAGTTCGTGTGGGTTTTATACCAAAGTGGCCAACCAGTGCTAATTCATCCCATACGTATGTAATTATTTACTTGTAATTGATAACCATTTGATCTGGAATAATTATGTCTTTCATAGTGTGATCTCTGAAATGTCAATGTGAAATTTTTTTCTTTTATTATCGAACTAATCGTTTTCCTCATAGACTTAGGATTAAAACGGAAAATCATTTATAAACCTAGAAAAACAAAAATGATTTAAGTATGGTGGTTTGTTCATATTAAAAAAAACTTCTCTTCTCTGCTTTCTACCGAGCCGTAATTATTGTGTTCGTTTTTCTTATAAATTTAAGAAGACGAATTTTATTTTTTGGGCTGAAAATTCATCAACAAGACTAAACATATTTCGATTCCTTACTAATCCTAGAAATATATTTAAAAAATTGAATTATGATTAAATAGAACACATATTTTATTTCTTAATTCCGTGTTAGTTTAAAATCGTTCCTTTTACAGATTTATCTTTGATCCCAGTTAACATTTGATTTATTGCCTTTTGATCCACACAGTTTGTCCTGGTAGATTATCACAGTTAATATATTATTTAATCATAATTAATTAGACGCGTCTTATCATTGGTCAACAAGCTATAAGCACTTAAAAAAATCAATAAAATATGGAAGCATTCTCGTATTTTTAAACCGTACTATCAAAATCCATAGTAAACATGTTTAAATTTCTTGATAATTTTAATTTAAAACGTAAAAAAAACGTGTAAAAAATTAACTGGTTTAAGTAGTTTTACAATTTAAGTTATCTTGACACTCAGATGACACATATTTTCTTGGTACTTTATGCCAACATGTGTGTACCTTAGAGCAAAATATTAAATTATTTCGTTTTTTGTTTTAATTAGATAATAATTGGCATCCATACATTTTTTATTAAACTTTTCTATTGTTGGTTTCTTTTTTTATGTTACTTATGGATCACAGTTGGGACTGACTCGATTATTTCTTCGGATTGTGTTTTATAAATGTTATGCTCTCCTTTTCCTCGATTGAATTATCTTTAAGCTCCAGACGTAGAATGTTATAGCATTCAAATTATTTTATCTGACAATGGACGTATAAACCTGTTATCTTAGATTTCCTATCATACTTTTTTTTTAAATTTTCACCATTTAGTTTGTACCAGGTCCAGGTAATGTATGTTTACTCAATACAGTTATATCCTGGAACGTTACATGACATAGTAGAAATTAAAATCCTCTGTGTTTTATAATTTACAACACAACGGTACTCATTTGCATTATACTAGGTACGGGTTAGCTATGCTACGGGTGATATTCTAAATGTAACTATTTAAAAAATATCAATAATATATAAAAATATTACTAAACTCTAGACCCTGTAACACGTTTTGTGGCCTTTGCATAAACAGTTTTCACAAGATATTGTGGTATCTATTGCCTTAAAAAGCAAAAAAATCTACTTCTTTGAAGAACATGCAAAAACATTTAAAATAAAACCTCTGAGAAAAGAAAAACTAAAATTTATTCAATTGAAGCAATCCAATTATTATAGAGTTGTTGACACATGATTATCCTTATTGAATGGAGCCTGTTCATAGATTCAAAAACCGTTGATCTCATTGGTTAATTCTTTGTCGAATATTGTTCTTCCATGCAATGTGGTTATGTTTTATGACTGTTTGACGACTTTCGAGTTCAAACTTGTTTCTGTCAGAGACACAAGCGCTAAGTTAAACCATTCCCAAACCTCATTGTAGTTTCTTCGATAAATAGAAACAAAGCAATTAAATATTTAAACGAAACATAAACGGGGCATAAACATGTAATAAATGAATTTGCGAACATGGCCAGTTGGTCTAGATCGAAATCTGTTCATCGCGAGAAAGTGTACCGTTATCTCGGCTCCCGCGGCTTTGAATTTTGACGGCAATTAACAAAAGGGAAACTCGTTTATTGTAGTAGAAACGTCATTAGGAAAAAGTGTGAAAGTTTAATTTTTTTAAGTGTGCCAAAATTTCGAAAAATGACAGCCATTTGTTTGGAAGGCCGTATTTGGTTACTATAAAACTTAAGTAAACGTTGTTTTAAAATCACGCGTTTTGTTAATTTACTGGTATAAAAACAGTAAATGAGAAGATAGTAAAATTAAAGTAAATTTTAAAGTTAAAATAGTTAAAATTTTATAATGTAAATCGTAAAATAAATAATAATCAAATTTTTAAATTAAACGTCCAAACGAATCATTTGTCTGTGCAGTCTGCAAATTAATGAGTTTATGTTTTATGACTGTTTATGAAATTTAAACTTAAATATTGATTACATAATGATGGGTTTATTGACTATTTCCATTTTCTCAATAAACAAAAATAACAGTCAATTACTTCTATTGGGTTGTCCGGAAAATAATGCAGGATTTTGGTATTAAACAAAAAAAAAGAAACTAGTTACTTTAAAGCAATGTTCTTTAATCAAAATAATTTCCCATACTCTCAATACATTTCTCCCAACGTGTTGGTAACTTATTAATTCCGTCTGAGTAGAATTCAGAATTTTTAGAATTGATAAAGTCAATAAATGCATTTTCCAGTTCCGTTTGATTTTTGAATATTATGTGTTGTAAGTAGTGGTCCAGGTGTCTAAAAAAATGGTAGTCAGTAGGCGAGAGGTCCGGAGAGTAGGGTGGGTGAGGCAAAGTTTCATAGCCAAGCTCCAATAATTTTTGTGACGTTACACGTGACACATGTGGTCGAGCGTTGTCATGCAACAAAATGGGCCCTTTCCGATTGACCAAAGAGGGCTTCATTACTGCCAATTTCTGATGCATGGTATTAATTTGGTTACAGTATGATTCAGCATTGATGGTTTCGCCAGGATTTAAGAAGCTGTAGTGTATTAAACCAAATGAAGCCCACCATACCGTAACCATTACCTTTTTTTGATGAGTTGGGGGCTTTGGAAAATGTATTGGAGCTTCTCCTTTGTCGAGCCACTGTCCAGAACGTCTAGTGTTATCGTAGAGAATCCACTTTTCGTCACATGTAACAATTCTGGCCAGAAATGGGTCATTTTTGTTTCGACAAAGAAGTGATGCACAAACATCAAAGCGCTGATTTTTTTGGCGATCGTTTAATGAGTGTGGAACCCAATTTTCGAGTTTTTTCACTTTTCCAATCGCCTTGAGGTGGTCAGCGACGGTCGTTTTACTGACTTTGAGTTGCTCTGCACCCACCACTGATCGCAGAACATCATCATTAAGAGAGGAAGGCCTTCCACGACCTTCTTCATCTTCAAGGCTGAAATCTCCCTCCCGAAATTTTTTAAACCACCTTTGCACAGTGCACTCATTAACACAACCCTCGCCCCAGACTTGGTTAATGTTTCTAGCCGTTTGGGCTCCGCTTCGGCCGAGTTTAAACTCGTAAAAGAAAATCGTACGAAATTCTCGCTTTGACATTATAAGGATGACTGAATTATTTCCAAGTAGCGGAATGCTACAGAGGTAAACAAACAATATCATTTGGAAGAGGATTAATAAGTGTTGACATTCATACAAATGAGTAATCCTGTAAACGTAAACAGAATATTTTATATAGATTTTTTTTAATGAAAACTTAAAATCCTGCATTATTTTCCGGACAACCCAATAGTTTAGAACTATTTTTAGCATAAAACCTAAGTACACCTTCTTTTCAAATTGCTTTTTTTAAAATGACGGCGGTAAACATTACCAACTATTAAAGTAACAATAACCACAAGTTTAACAAATTGAAATCATAATTTTCAAAAAATTACACACAAATTGAATAAACTGGTCAAAAAGAAGTATTTGCCTTTACAGTGTGCAAATGAACGTATTTTATTGTGTGCTTTTTTTTCTTTACGTCGAACTTATCATTTTGCCAAATTAAATTCAAATCCAACCTAAATATTGATGACATGATGATGGCTTTATTGACAGTTTCCAACGAGGAACAATTCTGGGTAAAATAAACAAAAATGACAGTCATTTGCTGGTAGTTTTTAACATAAAGTACACTTTCTTTTTCGTTTCTAATTGCGTCTTTTTTAAATTTAAAGATGTGCCTTTTATAAATTAGTTAAGTAATTAAAATTTTAAAATATAGTGGTAAAAAACATGTACCTTTACAGTCTTCAAAAATAATTTATTGGTTTTCAACGATCATCTTATCAATTTTCCAAAGTAAGTAGAAATATTACTGACATGATGATAGCTTTATTGAAAGAAATTCTAGGAATATAAATTTTTAAAATAAATGAAACACTCATTTGCTAGTCTTTCTAACCTAAAATCTTAGTACACATTTTTTTTCTTGTCAAAAATCGCGTCTTTATTTAAAGCTGTACACGTTCTAAACTAGTTAAATAATATAATCACAATTTTAACAAAATAAAACGTATAATTTAAAGAAATAATTCAACCTTCAAATAAATTGTTTAAAAATAAATATTTGCCATACATCCTGCAAATGTGCATTTTTCATTGTTTTTTGGTTTTCCAGTTCAATGTCTCAGCCTGCCAGAGTAAGTTCAAAGTTAAACTTGAATATTGTTGGTATGATACCATTATCAGATAAAAATGATACTCGTTAGCATATAGAGTGAAACTCTTTTTACCATAAAACTGTAACATAACACCTTTAACATAAAGCTGTCAACTTTAGAAACTAGTTCAGCAATATTAACCACAATTTTACAAATTTAACGTCACAATAAAGAAAAAATATTTGAACTTTTAAATAATCTGGCGAAAAAGAAAAATATACGTGCAGAACCTGCAAATGTACATATTTTATTGTTTTTTTGCCTTTTAAATTCAACATATCATTCTGCAAAAGTAAAGTAGCTAAACATAAATATTTCTTAAATAGACAAATTATGATGGCTGATTGGTTCTATTTCCCGAGGGATGGGGTAAAACAAACAAAAATGACACTCA